GAAAGAGGAGAGAGAATGGATCAGAGACAATGTTTGAAGAATGATGGCCGCAGATTTTCTGGGGAGACATCAATCCACAAACCATAAAAGCCCAATGGATTCATAATGGAATAAATAAAAAGTAATGTCCATCCACACACATCAAAGTAAAACTACAGAACACCAAAGATTAAAAGGAGATCTTAAAAGTGGCCAGAGATAAAAGACTTTTAAAAGACAGAGAAATAGATTAATAGGTGACTTCTCCATCACAAAATGGAAACCACAGGGTTATGCAATGACTGCTTTGATGTGCCTGCCCCAAGAAAGGCTGTCAGCCCAGGATCGTGTACCCAGCAAAAATATTTTCAACAACCATGAGGAAATAAATGTATTTTCAGACTAATGAAAATGGAGAGAATTTTCTTCTCTAAAGAAATTTTTTAATAATATGCTTTAGGCAGAGGAAAACAATCCCAGAAAGAAGATTTGAAATTTTTTTTAAAAACCTAACCCTAAAAATCAGAGAATAAAATGATAAGATATGGCAACCACATGGGCAAATAGAAATAAATGGACTTCAAAAAACAAGTACACCTGGAAAAATATTTGCAGCATTTATAACAGGGAAAGAATCCATACAAATGTAGGATGTATACAGAGTCCTACAAATTTGTCATTAAAAAGCCTGATAATATTTGCAAGCACTAAGGGAAGTGTTAGCCTCACTCATGGGATGGGTCTCTACAGCAAACAAGGGAACACATTTCACTAGTGTCTTCACATGCTGAAATCCTCAAAAACACAGAAATGAGCTTAAACACCTAACTGAAGAATGAGAAATTCAGCACAATTGTACATATATTTTTTTATAAAGTCACAGAACAATATTATATAATGTTGATGGATTTCTAATCAAAGTATAAAAACATGGATTGAAATGATTTGTGCCAAATACATAAAACTACATAATTATCTTTTCAATTTTATTTTATTTTTTATATCATATATACCATGTAAGGTAATGCTTTATTTTATTTTTAGGACTCAGAGAATAACGTGACAAAAATGTTAATTTTTTAATTCAGCTTTATCATTTGCCAGGAGTTTGTTATATTTTTTTCAGAACTTTCTTATATTTTTAAGAATTTTTTCAAAAAAGTAGAAAAGGAACAGCTACTCTGATGGAATTTTAACATTCATTAGTCAAGACCCCCAGGGAAATCTTTGCTGGGGTATTTCATTTTCAACAAAAATTAAGACAATTGAAGCAAAGATGAATCAAGATGTAAGTTTCTTTCTTAAAGATAGAACAAAAAAAAAGGATTGATATGTAATTGATGATTTACAGATGGATTAATAGAAGATGGATGGTAGATTGATGGACAATAGATATGTAATTGGTGATAGATGAACATGTGAGAGGTCAATAGATAAATGATAGAAGATAGCTGGATAAATGATGACTAGATTGATAGAAAGATGATAGTGAAATAGATGATGGAAGGAAGACAGATAGACAGACAGACGGTCAGACAGATCTACAAACACTGGTGGGCAGAATCATGTCTTCCTAGAGAGCTCATATCCTAAGCCCCAGGACCTGTGAATGGTGTGATGAAGGGCACTGATCTCACTGCAGGTGAATCCAATCTAATCACACACATCCTTAGAAATGAAGGAAATGGGAAGAATAGAAAAAGGAATGTTAAAAAAAAAAAAAGAGAAACTGGAAGGGAAAAAATGGAAACAAAGCTTTTGTAAACTGGGTGATTCCAATACCAGAAAACTGATTACATTTGAAGCTCCATGTGGGTCAAACAAATTGGTAACCTCCTTATCACATCTTTGGAGACTGAATATGATGGAACTAGTGGTTTTGTGAGAAATTTACCTTTAAAGGAAACCCTTTTTTTGCTTTTTGGCGTTTTTTTGGTGTTGTTTTTTTTTTTTTGGTACCAGGGATTGAACTCGGATCCTTGCACTTGTGATGCAGGCGGTGGAACCACTGAGCTAAATCCCCAGTCCCAGGAAACCCTTTTATTATACATCTGGTATCACATCCCCTTCAGAACACCTCCAGGTCAAAGATTGAAAGACTTTGCAACTGCACACCAGCGGTGATGATAGAAAACACTGGTTATAGATAGCTCAGGTAGCAGTCCTACTTCTGCTGGCCAGGTGAGCTCAGGGAAGCCACATGTGACAGACACACCAGGGTGACCCCTTCCTCAGGTACACCTTTGTGTAATCGCGTCTCCTTGAATGTAGGTAGAACCTGTGACCTGATTCTAACTACAAAGATGGCCAAGGTAAAGGTACTTTGGGATGTAATTGAAATCCCTAACAACAAGGTAGATTACTGTGGTGGGTCTTATCTACTCAGAGGAGCCCTTCAGCTGGCTTACAAGTCAGAGACTGAGGCTGCAGACACTGTCTCCTCTGCTGGCTTTAAAGAAACAAGCAGCTGTGAATTCTGTGCCTCAGAACAATGAATTCTGCCAACCACCTGAGTCTGAAAATAGACCTTTCCCTAGTTAGACCCTGAGTGAGAACATGGCCAAGGCCACACCTTGGGCCTTGTGAGACATCTGCAGAGGAGCCGGTTAAACCATACCCAGACTTCTGAACTCCTGAAACCGTGAGCTAATGGATATTAAGCCACAATGTGGTAACTTGTCACTTGTCATAAAAAAGGAATACACCATTAAAGTTCTCTCAATGGCTATTCCCTTATCTATAGAATGGATAATGAAAATTTCCATATCAGAGAATCATTTTAAGGATCATAAACAAGACATCATTTCTTAAAAAGTTTTTGACCAGCTCCTTCTGTAGGAGGCACTCTTTTGGCTCCCCCAAGGCCAACTATTAGAAGGAAGATTGACAAACTCAAATGCCTATGAGCGCAATGTACAGAACTGAGACAGGTGGGCTGAATTTAAGACAACAGGGCCCAGGGTTGCCAACAAGAAGGCAGGCCCAGGGTCTTCAGGGCTTCTGAGAGCTCAAGAGAAGTGAGAAATTCAGATTCCTATGTGAAATCTGATTTTTATTATGTGGCTACTAATTGCCAAAACCTTTAGACGGAGCACCGGCCTGATGACATTCTTATGTGGGTGATGTTTTGCCCCAGAGCTCCTAATGGGTTTGCCAGACATCCTGGAGAGATGTCCCCTGGTTTCTTGGGGCCTCAGCCTGGGATCTCTCAGCCCTGTGTGAAAGAGGCCCAACCCCAGCCCCACACACAGGCTCACTGGAGGTCTGCTGAGTCAGCCAGGAGGTCTGGGGAAGTGGGAGCTGTTGGGAGGCCCCTTGCTGCCCTCCCTCCCAACATCTGCTGGGCTCTTCCCACTTCCTGGAGACTTCAGGCTCACCTGTTGTCACCTGGGTGTAACTTGGTACTTCTTCCTTGTCAGTGAGAGATGTGTCCTGGGGGGCAGTAACAGTCACCCTGCCAATCTCCCTACATCCCCAGAACCTCACAAGCAGATACTCTTTGGTCTGGTCAGTCTGTGTTCTCCCTTTTCCTGAGATCTGCATCCAAATCTTCCTTTGCTGGACCATTCCTACCCACACGGCTCATTAGAGAGGCCCTTCTTGGGGGCAGGCTATTTTGACCTGGGCTTCTGTCACCAGAGCTCTGAAGGACCGATAAAGCATGCACCAAAACTGATGGATGTTGAGAAGGATGAGATGTGGTTTGGAGCAGTGCGAAGTCTCGCTCCTTAGACGGGGCCAGCATCATTGCTTGTCAGAAATGCAGACTCTCAGGGCCCTTCCCAGAGCTGCTTGGTCCTATACAGCAATGCAAAAGTACTCCCGGCAACTGATACAGCCAGGACAGGCTTGGAGCACAGGGCAGGCCACATTGACTCAAATCTGACCTTTCTGTGTCTGTGTCCTTGAGAGAAAAACAGTGCTAATGATGCATCTGCCTCCCTGAGGCCTGGAAAGGTCTAATGACATGACACACAAGATCACATCATGCACGCAATGCCAGGAACACAGCAAGCACTCCATGGGCCTGGTTCAGGACATGTGGTCCTGCAGACAACTGATGACAGCCGGAAGGAGACTCCAAAAAGCAGAGGCCATCTCCAGCCCTTGAGAGTCCTTCCAGCTGCAGGAGAGAATGAGGAATCTGGGTCACCTCCTGAAGAACACCTGGACTTTGAATCAAGTTTGCACAAGGGAAGAGAAAGTCAAGGGCATCCTAGGAAGGAAGGGCTGCTGAGCCACCCTGTGGTGCTGTGTGCATCAGGGATCTGGCTGGCAGGGTGGATTGGAGAATGGGGTGAGGGCAGAAGTAGACCTGGTCCCACCAACTGCAAGAGAAAGAGGTCACGGGAAAAGAAGAGCACGTTTCTTATTGGGCACAGAGAGGGTTGTACGCAACAGGTGAGATACATTGCAGGTCTTGCTTTTTAATTTGTACATAATAAACAGTCTAGAAGGTTTTAAGCAAGGAAACAAGACAATTAGATGATGAAAGAGTGGTGTGGAAATCTGTGTCCTTCCATCTGTCATCGGTGAGTGTGTACATGGATTCGTCTCAAGGAGACAGACTTCTACATGTTCACATCCATTACCCTTAAGGGCTGGGATTTTACTGGCTTGTTTTCTCATCTGTATTTTCTAGTTTGTCTACAGTAAACATATATTGCTTACACAATTAAAAAAGCAATAAACACCATAAATAATTAATATGTTCTCTTTAGGACTCAAATTGGATGGATGTGCTTTCAACCCAGTTATTTCAAACATTTGCTGAACTGCTAGCTTAGAAAGGTACCAGTGAAAAACAGGCAGACAATAGAGTCCTATAGGGTGGGTTTGTGGGGAATAAAATCAGTGCCCTAACTATGAAATTATAGATCCTGTAAAATGGGAACCCTCTGTCCAGAGCACAGAGAAGCCCCTCAAATCCCATGTCGAGTCCTTGAGGTTTAAGGAGGTCCAGTTCACACTTCCTGAACCCGGGCATATTTGGAAAGGGTCAAGGTGGCCATATATCCTACCTTTTGGGATTGATTCTCAGTTTTTTCTGCTTGCTGTTCCCACAAGTCGTCTTCGCCCTCCTTCGAAACAGGCCTTTCTTCCATTCTGGGTCCAACGTCCGGTCCTGGGCCCTCATCCCTGAGACTATGAGGCAGGAGAGCTGAAAAAGCAGGCATGTTACCAATCCTGAAGAGTACTCTCCTCACAGACCTGGTGCCCACCTATGGGACTCGGGCACGGAAATGCTGCAGTGACAAAGGACCTGAGCCATATGGGCTCCAACTAGGTGATGCAGGATGTACAGTGGACCCCTGACTTATGAACTCAATTCATTCTCGAGGGCTGCTTGTAACTCAAGTTGGTCAGTTGAAGGCTCAGGCTCCTCTACACAGCCTTCAAAGTGTCTCTCCTGTACACAGGCAGATCTCAGTGTCCTTAGAGAGACCCTGGCCAGGGATTTCTCAACCCCACCTAGGAAAGGATGCTGAAATATTCCTTCCATAGCTCTTTAAGGGCTAAATCTGTAACTAAGACCATCTGGAAGCACAAGACGCTGGCATTTGGGTTGTAACTCAAGACTTTGTTCATAAATTAAAACTACAATTCCAGTCCTAGCCCAAGTTGTTTGTGTGTCAGGCTAGTCATAAGTCGAGGGTCCGCTGTACCTGGACAGAACCTTCTGGAACCCAGCCTGGGCTGGCTCCCAGCGGAAAGTCCAGACCTGTGACATGGGTGGTGTTATCCTCCCAGTCCTTGTTTTGGAGGAAGGGGGCTAAAAGCTTGACTTGGGTTTCTCCTCTCAGTACCACCACTCTCTGGGCAAAGAAAGTGCTGCCCTGCCCTCAGGCTCTGCTGGGAGAAAAGCAGGGCAGCCTGCCAGGTTCAAGGTCTGGACGTCTGCCATTGCTCATAGGGTTAAATCAGAGCTCAGGCCTCCAGACTCTGCTTAGTGACCCTGGAGACAGCAGCACCAGGGTAGGTAATTCTCCGAGGCATGGGTGGCTCATTCTGAAGATGGAGCCATGCACTGAGCATCTCATCACCAAGTGAGCACCCCCTTGGCATTCACTGCATTTCCTTTTTTGCCACTGCCCCTGGGAAACTCAGTGGTACATTGGGGTCTGATGATAATAACTCTTTTCCAGCCTGGTATAATGACTGTCTCCTTCTAAGAGTTTTGTTTTGTTCTTTCTTTCCTTTTCTTGGCCTGTAGTCTATTACTCAATAAAAGTTTTTGCTTCTGTTACAGGAAGCTCAGGCTTAAGGTTTATGTCTACTTATGGACAATGTCTCACCCAGAACCTAGGGTACAATATTTCTTTACTCTGAAACTTATTTTTCCATGACTTTTATTTGTGTTTAAAGCCTTTGTCCTTTCCCTCCCTAGGTGTGGCAGCCCCAGCCTCCTTGGGAGGAGGCTGAGAAGGCAGAACAGGCAGTGGCTGCTACAGGGAGGACGTCACAGGTGCTCTCTGGGACCCCACCCCCAGTCAGAGCTGAGGTTACCTTGGGTGTCGGTGCTGGGCCTCCTTCTCTGGAGCCCCCACTGGTACATCCTCCGTCGTCCATGGGCCGGACCTCAGGACACCCATGAGGGAGCCTGCCACCAGGGAAGTGCAGAGCCCAGTACACGGAAGCAGCCTTCTCCTTCTGCTCCCGGGGCAGGGGCAGGCTGCGTCTCAGGCAACACCATGTGAGCTGGGGCTCAGCCCTCAGTGAGGGGAAGGGACTCTGGGTCCCACAGCTCCTGGGGGTCCCTAAGTCGGGTGACAGCAGCAGTTCTGGGTGGCCCAGGGGCAGGGCCTGGGGCCTTGTGAGAGCCGTGAGGAAGGAGCCAGACTGGACAGAGCAGCAGGGATTGAGCTTCGAAGGAGGGTCTTTGGGGGCATCCTCAGGAGACCCCCACAGCTCCCAGCCTGGCGCCTGGGGCTTCACCTCACCTCCAGAAGTCGCAGCCCCTGCCGACGCGCTGCCTGTGCGGGGTTGGCAGATGGCACAGGTCTCACCCCCCTTGTCCTGCACTCCCAGGGCGTCACACGTGGAGACAGGTGGGAGAGAGGTTGTCTCCTGTGGGGGCCCCGTGGCTGGGCCAGGAGACTCCCCAGATGCCAGGACATGGGTGTCAGGCTCCTCTCGATTTTCCCTTCCCACTTGCGTCTCTTTCTTGCCATCCCTTGGCCTGGAGCAGCTGGATTTCTCCAGGCTGCCATCTGCCTCCCCTGGGCCTGGGCCTGAGGCTGGCCCAGGAGAACAGGGCATCCCTGATCCCTTGGGAGGTCCCGCTGTGGAGACAGAGCATTGGCCTTGGGTGGACACCAGGAGGGTGGGCAGCGAAGAAGGGGTGTCTCCCTGAGGTAACCTGAGGAGGTACTTGGGGGCAAAGGTGCCATCTGCCTCTACCATGAGGGCAGTGGGAGCCTGAGACTGGGTGACCAGCTGGCAGTGCTGCCCAGGGGCCCCCATGGCACAGGACAGTGTGGGCTCTTTGTCCCCAGGCCCTGCCTGTCTTCCGGCAGCAGCAGGAGCAACCAAAGAGGAGCTGGAGGTTGCCAAGTGATCAGCCACCTTCTTAGCATTCCCATGCGGCACCCCGGCTGTCTCCCAAGTGTCACCGTCCTGCCTCTGGGTAGGCAGAGAGGCACCCTGAGCAGTGCAGACTAGGGTCTCTGCTCCCAGGGGCCCCGGGTGCTGCTGGGGGCTCAGCCCCTCCACCTTCAGCTTCTTCCTTTCTGAGGGGAGTTTGTCTTCCACAGGCCAGGGCTCCCCAGAGCCACCCCCGGGCCTTCTCAGGACAGCTGGGGACTGTGAACATGTCTCCCTCACCCTCTCACACCCAGTAAGGCCTCCTTCCAGCTGGAGGCCTGACACAGCCAGCCTGGGGGCCCCTACGTCACCCCTCTGGAGGGGCCCAGGCGCTGGGGACAGCTGCCACCTCAGTTCCAGCTGCCTGTTTGGAGGAAGCAGAGGGCTTCTGTTACCTGAACCAGGGGAGTCCCTGCTGCCAAGGATCGGGGATGACACCGCCCTGGCCACCCTAAGCTGATCACTGCCTCCTGCTCCAGCCACTGGCCTCCTTTGTTCAGGGGATTCAGTCTCTAAGGAGCCCTCTGGAGCTGGCAGGCTTCCCCAAGACCCTGGCTTGGCCTCCACAGAAATGTCCCCAAGGATGGGTATCCCAGTGTCATGGGATGGGGCTGCACCCTTGGCCTCTGCTGCCTCTTTCTGGGGAGGTGGGTCCAGCTCTGTCCCATGGCCAGCTCGTCCGTCCCTGGCTTTCTGCGCTCCCTGATGGCCGGTTTTCATCTTCTGGTAGATTCTCTTGAAAGTCTCCTTCCCATACACCTGCCACTTCTCCTGGGAGAACATCTTCAGCTTCCTCCGACCACACTTCTTACTGGCCGCTCTGCCCTTGCAGGCTGCTCCCTCCCCATCCAGGTTCTCTGTGGGGGCTGCAGGCTCTCCAGTGGGGGTACATGGCACATCCTCCACAGCGCCCTGTCTCACCAGGGCCCGGGGGTGGCCACTGGTGACATCCGCCAACGTCAGCCGGGCTGGGGCCAGCCTGGGGCTCAGCGGCTTCTGCATCCTGGAACAGGCGTCCTGCAGGTCTCGTGGCTCTGGCCACGTGCTAGAGGCCTCAACAAAGGGCAGTGAGTTGCTCCTAGTGACGGGGACATATTCCACAGTGGTGGAGAGCTGAGTGGGCACAGAGTGGAAGAAAAGGGGCCGCGACTTGTCCAGAGCCGTGAAGGTGGAGCAGGCTGGGCTGAGGGCAGCCCTCCTGCGGCCCGGCTCCAGGGCCCGGATGTCAAAGTGGAAGGAGTCCTTGTAGGTGTAGGGCATGGGCAGGTCGATGCTGCCCTGCTTGGACAGGACGGTCTTGCGGGGCCGCACGTGATCCAGCTGGGGGTCGCCCACCACCGCCTGGTTGTGAGAGATGAGCTGAGCAATGCGCTCCTCTAGCCGCTTCTTTTCCAGCTCCACACTGGCCCCTAATGCTGCAGGCTCTGGCCTGGTGCTGCCGGCTCCCAGGCCCGGGCCTCCCTCACCCTCAGACTCTGCGCTGTGCTCCGACAGGCTGTGCAGAGGGCTGGAGGCCAGCGGCGGCTGCTCTGAGCTGTCCGAGCGAGACAGGTAGCCCGAGTCAGTGCTCTCGCACTTCCTCAGCTGGGCCTCAGAGGCCTTGGCATCCCAGGGCTTCTCCGAGGACACCTCTTGCTGCCGCCGCAGGGAGCATGGCTTTGGGTCTGGCAGCTTCCGACAGGGCTGTGTGCTGGCCAGCGGGAGCCCAGGCAACGCCATCGGGGCAGAGCCCGTCGGGGCCTCTCTGTGGGCAGGTGTAGGCCCGAGGCGGGGAGCAGCTTCTGCCTTCCTCTCTGGACTCTTGAGCCCAAGGGAGAGAAGGGCACCTGGGGAAAGAGGCCTTCCTGGAGCTCCGTCGCCTATTCTCTGGCTGCAGCTTTCCTGCCTGCCTTCTGCCGCAGAGGGCTCTCCAGCCCTGTCCCGCTCCCCCAAGATGCCACTCCCGCCCACCTCTGACTCCACGGACAGCCGGGAGTTGTTGAGATGCGTCTGAGTCCTCCTGTGCTTATACAGGTTGCTCTGTGTCTTAAAGGCAATGCCACAGCTGGCACAGGGGAAGGGCCTCTCACCCGTGTGGGACCGGATGTGCTTCTCCAAAACACTGGGCTTCAGGCAGTCACGGCCACAGTGCGGGCACAGGTACTTGCCAGCATTCCGAATCCTGCCTGCACTGCCCAGCGTGGGCCCCGGCCCCGGGGACAGAACTGGAAGAGTGCCCACAATTTTCACTGTCAGGGCTGTGGCAGCTGGCTTGCCCACCTGGGTGGGCCCAGGCCCTTCAGGCTGCAGCAGGGGGCTGAGGATGAAGGGCACGCTGCCCCCATCCAGGCTGCCTGTGACCAGCGGGGCACGTGGCTGGAGGCCCCCAGGAGGCACTGTATGGTACAGTGGGATGGGAAGAGCTTTCAGGATCATGGTAGGGGGCAGGCCCTGCTCCGGAGGCAGGATGACAGGGCCCAGGGTCAGATGAGAAGAGGCCTGCCCATTTGGGGTCCCTGGAGGGCCAGGTGTGGGAACCAGCTGGTTTCTGGAAGCTGGGGCAGGGCAGGTGGGTTCTGGAGCCTCCATTCCACATCATCTGGACAGTCCACGATGTCAGGCAACCTGCAGGAGACAACCACAGTTTGCAATTGGTGCCTCTTCTCTCCATCAGTAAAAACTCCCTTAACCCTGCTGGGCATTTCATCACACCACTGAACCCTGACAACCATCCACAGGTACTCTTGTCCCCAAGTCAGGAAAGAGGAAACAGACTTGACCTGTCATGTAGTGGCTACAGGCAAAATGAGGTTCATGCCTGAGCCTCACTGAAGCCTGTCTTTTACTTACTCAGGTTCAAGATCCATAAAATGGACAAGGAATAAGGCCCTTCCCACTCTGGGATTCTGAGTCTCTATAAGAACAACAGGAAAGAATACTGACAAGAGGGGAAGTTTGCTGGCTTTAGCAAACAAAAGCGCAGGGTTCTCAGCTACATTTGACTTTCTGATGAACAATGCACAATTCTTTTGGTGTGTTATGGGTATGTCCCAAATATTGTGTGAGAATTACTCTTCGTGTAAGTATGTCCCAAGTCTTGCATGGGTCATGCTAACACTAAAATATCGTACCTGACTTATGTAAAGTTTAGATGTCACTGAGAACCCTCAGGATAGGGCTTGGGTTCCTGCTTACAGGACGGAGAGATCCGGCCATGGCGTGTGAGTCACAAAAGGAAAGCCAGACGCTGCGGTGAATGTGGGGCAGGCTGGGGCCTGGAGAGAAGGTCCTCAGGCACTGCCCTCCCAGAGCGCCATAAGCAACCTTTACCCACCCTCCAGCACCGCTCCTTTTAAACCCTTAGCAGCTGGTTTGTCCCGACAGTGTATGAGAGAAACAGCACCACGTGGGGCCAGTTCACGCCACCACAGCCTCCACAAAGCTGACTGTCAAATTTCCAGGGATTTTGCAACCCTGTTGTTAGACACAGTCCCTAATTCAAAGTTAAATTACACTCGTTTATAATTACGCAAATTATATTAAAACCAAAGCTACTGCAACTGGATATCTAGGGGCAAAAGAATGAAGTTGGTCTCCTACCTTACATGATACACAAAACTTCATTCGAAATGGATACCAGACCTCAGTGAAAGATCTAAAACTATCAAACTTGCAGAAAAAGACATAAGATTAAATTTTGGATTAAACTTTGGATTGAGCAATGGGTTCTAAAATATGACACCAAAAGGACAAGCAGTAAGAGAAAAATAAATAAATTTGATTCAAAATTAAACTTTTGTGCATCAAAGGACACTATGAAGAAAGGGAAAAGATGCAGAATGGGAGAAAATATTTGCAAACCATGTATCTAATATATCCAAAACATATAAAGAACTCTTATAATTCAAAAGAAAAGAACAAACAACCCAATATTAAAATGAGTAAAGGATTTGAATAGACATTTCTCCAAGGAAGATATACGATTGTGCCCAAAGCACATGAAAAGATGCACAATACCATTAGTCATTAGGAAAATGTAAATCAAAACCACAATGTGATATGACTGCACTCTGCCTAGCATAGCCACAGTAATAATAATAAGCTGAAAATAACAAATGTTGGTAAGGATTTGGAGAAAGTGAAACCTTAAACATCACTGAGAGGAAAAAAAAAGATGTAACCAGGCTGGAAAACAGCTCGGTGGTACCTCAAAAAGTTAAACAGGATATGCCCATAATTCTACCCTAGGTACATACCTAAAAGAATTGAAAAAATGATATTTGGGCTTGTGCACAAAAATGTGTTGAGAGTTGCTCTATTCAAAATAGTCAAAAGGTAGAAATGACACAATTATCCATCAACTGATGAGTGAGTAAGCAAAGTGCAGAATAATTAGACAGTGAAGTACTATTCAACCATAAAAAGAAATCAGGCACTAACACATGCTGGACATGGATGAACTCTGAAAACATTATGCTGAGTGAAAGAAACCAGACCCCAAAGCTTACATATCGCATGATTCCATTTGCATAAATAAATCCTGGAATAGACAAATCTGTACAAATAAATGGATTATACCAGTTTCCAGAAGGTGGGAAAGAACAAGGAATGTCCATTTAATTTGGGTTCAGGGTTTCCTTAAGGATGATGAAAATGTATTGGAACTAAAGAGAAGTGGTAGTTGCACAAAATTATGTGTATATTAAGTGCCACCAAAGTGTGTACTTTAAAATAGTCAAAACAGGACACCTGACACCATCTTGCAAAGGGCCCAGGACCACTCCCCACTGTTCCAGCACCCAGCAGTGCCGCGTGGAGGACCTCACCCCCTGACCACTGCGCTGGCCATGCCAGTATCTGAATTCACACTACAGAAGTGCCCAGGGCCATAAAGGTCATGGTTATGAGCCCCAGAAGATACAGCAGAAGTGAATAACAGAGAGTGGGCCTCTCTAAGGCTCTTCAAGGAAAATTGAAGCCCACTGGGAAAGTGAAGAAAATCTCTGCAATAAAGGCACACTGGACCACCATGGTTGGTAAGTTGGTGGGATCAGCACCTCCCATCGGAACCTTCAGTGGACTATGACTGGCTTGCTGAGACTAATCAATTTAGATCTGCACACTACACTGCTGCCCACACTATCACGAGAGCAGAGACATATCCTGAAGGAGGCCCTTTTTCTTTTTTATTCTTTTTCTCTCTCTCCCTTCTTGTTCTTCACCTCTCTCCATTTTTGTTCTTGACCTTGTCCTATTTTGGACTTTTATTCTCTCTCTTTCCTTCTCTCAGTTGTCATTAAGGTGAATACAGCTTCTAGCTTCCCTATTCCTATTAGTTTGTTCTGCTCCTGTCTTTGTTCCTTCACTCTGTCTTCTCCTCTTGTCTTCAACAGTTTTCCAATGTTTGTGTGATTGTCCTGTGTCCTCTAGCCTCACTTCTAACCTTTCCCTCTCCTTCTATATTTCTATTCCTCGCTCCCCAACTACTTCTAAGTCTTCACCCCAAGGGGAAAATTTGCTATATTGAAGGGTTTATTTACTACAAACATATTTTGATCTGGTCCTCGATTTTGCTCTAGTTCATGCGGTTAAAGGTGACAGATTAATAGCTACCACAAATTGTCATTTTCTAAGCTGTTTAATGCTATTGTTGATCTGATTGTATCACTTGGGCTAAGGTGTCATGATTGATCTAATCAGTTGTCCTTCCTGGTACACTGAAAAGAAGATTACCTAAGAGTCGTTAGAGACTCAAAACCTATAGACCAGCTATACTTGGAAGACACCTCTGAGAAGCAATCATCTGTAAGGGGTCTAAATGAAAGCAATGAAGATACTCACAGTAAGCAATATTGAAGTATCAACCAAAGAATTAAACCCAAAACACCACCAACAACAAAATAGAAATGAGAAGACACACAAAAAAAGGCACAAACCCAGACTTTCAGCTCACCCAAAGCAAATTCTGGAGGCAATGAGGTGGAAAAATCTGATAATCAACCACCTGGACACCATGAACTGGTAACACAGGAAGTAACAAAAGAGATGAATGAACAAGGCTCTAGAAAAATTCAAAACAGAAATAATTTCCCAGATAACTACAGAGATGGTGAGCAGAATGAAAGACAGGACTAGACTCTAGAAGAGAAACAGATTTTTTAAAAAAATAGATGAGCTTAGGACCATGATGGAAGCCATGAATGCCCAGCACAGGAAAAAAATGGAAACCATGAACACCCAGCATAGGAAAGAAATAGAATCCATGAAACAGATTCAAACAGATATCCAGGAGATTAAAAGCTCCATTGAAAGTATTCACAGCAGACTGAGCCAATTTGAACACAGAATATCAGATATAGAAGACAGGATTACAGTCAGTGAACATGAAAAGAGAGATCTCTTAAAAATAGAAAGGGACCATGAGAAAGCAATCCAGCAGCTGCTAGATGACACAAAGAAGAATAATATAAGACTGATAGGAGTCCACAAAAAAGCAGGACAAAGTATAAATGACATTAAAAAATTGTTCACAGAAGTAATGGCAGGAAACTCCCCAAGCAGAGGAAAAGAATTTGACATAGAGAGAAGTGAGGCACATAGGGCTGCAACTAGCCATGATCAAAAAAAAAATCTACACCTAGACATACAATGGTCAAGAACCCAGAAACCCAACAGAAGAACAAAATCCTACAAGCAGTTAGAGAAAAGAAACAAGTCACCTACAAAGGAAAGCCCATCAGAATCACAGCACACTTCTCAACACAAACCCTCAACTCAAGGACAGCTTGGAGTGAAGTATTTCAAGCCCAAAAGAAAATAACTTCCAACCTAGACTGTTGTATCCTGCAAAATTATCTTTCAAAAATCAATGGGGGAATTAGATAGTTGCATGACAAAGAACATCTGAGGAATTTCATGAACACCAGAGCAGCACTCCAAACAATTCTAAACAATATCCTACAAAAAAGACAATGAAGGCCACAACTCCATGAGGTCCAACAGAGGGAAGCCACCAGACAAGGTAAGAAACTAAAGGGAAAGGGGGAAAATTAAGAAATAAAAGGCCCAACAAAAGTAAAACATCATGACAAGGATAAGTCAATACATATCAGTCATAACCATCAATGTCAATGGCCTCAATTCACCAATAAAAAGAAATAGACTGGCAGGATGGATTAAGAAGCAAAATCCAATCATAGGCTGTATGCAAGAAACACACTTAGTTCAAAAAGAAATACATAGACTGAAAGTAAAAGGATGGAAAACAGTTCTCCATGTGACAGGACCCAGAAAAAAGCAAGGGTAGCTATCTTTTTTGCAGACAAAGTAGATTTCAAACCAAAATTAATTAAGAGAGATAAAGAATGTCACTTCATACTTGTAATGGGAACAATCCAAGAGGAAGAGATGACAATCATAAATATATATGCACCGAACACTAGTGCACCCAACTATACAAAACAAATATTAATTGACATGAAAAACCAAATAAGCACTAATACATTTGGAATGGGGGTCCTCAAAATCCCACTGTCACAAATAGATAGATCATTTAGACAGAAAATCAACAATGAAACACTAGATCTGAACCAAACTTTTGAATAAATGGACTTAATAGATGTCTA